AAGGAGGCGGCGGAGGCTACAGGACGCCTGGGACGGCGGGAGGGCGGGCCGTGGGGGAGAAGGACTTGCTGGCTGAGGGGCCGGCTGAACCAGGCCTGGGAGACAGGGGCGTGGATAGCTACCTCCTTCCTGCACAGAAGTTCGGCACATCACTACTCTCGCTATTTCTAGAAATTTCCCTCAAGAAAATAAGTGTGGATGGCTATAAAGTTACAAGATGACAAGCACAGGTAGAGCCCGGATTTTTGTTTTGTTTTTGTTTTATAAAAGAACTTACAAAACTAAACATCCCAAGGGGAGTTCCTGGGAGACAAGAATGCATCCTCATCACAGTGACACACGAGTGCACTTACATGCCATGCAGATGATGGGAGCTATACCAGCTGATGGCCTATCACATAAAAACACGTTCGCAATCTAGGCGCCTGCCCCCTGGAAGGCTCTAAGTATTATTTCAATATCCAGGTATTTCAAAATTACATAGTATGTACGTTTTCTCGGTGCTGTGTTGCATATAAAATATGTGCCTAATATTATTTGATGATTTAATCTGCTAATTTTGTTTTCATTTCATTTTGCATTCATTTATCAGTGACAAAATTTGGGTCAATATAACAATATTCACAGATGCTAATAATCACAATCTCTTTACAGCTGATTTAGATATAACATTTGGGAAAATGAAAACATGCTATTCTTAGAAGTAACATCTATAATGAACCAATGTTACAAAAGTTCCTAAGAGAGCAATTTAATTTTAGTGTGTCTGAAGGTCTTCCCTGGAAACATTTCTTCTGGAAGAAGTGTGTTTTCCTCTTTCATTGTACTCATTTTGAGTGTGCGACATTAATCTATTTTATTGGTGACTTTAATTTGACAGAAAACTTCCTTTTCCTCCTATATTTTGCAGCCATTTTCCCTGTCATAAAATCACTTTTCATACACTCCACTCTATAAGCGTCAGAGAACGTACACGCTCTTAAGAGGAAACGACTAATAATCCAGGCATGGCGGCTTCGCTAATTCGTCTGTCAGGAATGACATCTCAGGCTCCTCAGTCAGTGCCACTCAGGTTTCCTTGGATCTTTTGGAGACTGAGGGCAGTTGGGGGGATAAAAAAATGAACGCTTTAAAGTAGGACCAGAGGCAAATGTCACTTCATTGCCTTATGACTTTAACTTATACTGTGCTGTAAAACGTCCCACAGCATTTTGGAAATGATAGTTACTCATTCACTATAATGGCAGTAAGATCATTATGAAGTGTTTTTAATTTTAATTTGACCCAGTGGAATTATAGATTCATAAATTTGTGACTTGGAAGATCCTTCAAAAATCATCATTTAAGTCTCTTAAAGATGAGGACATTGGAAGACTCTATTTGGAAAAACAAATGTCTAAAATGACGCTATTTGCTCCCAGTGTTACTACAACAGCATCAGGCACATGACTCAGATAACCTTCCCTCCTTCCTCTTCCTCCCTTCCTGTGTGTGTGTGTGTGTGTGTGTGTGTGTGTGTGTGTTTTGCTTTTTCCCTTAATCATCCTTTCATGTTTTATATCAGGATTCTCGATCCTAAGGGTACATTGGAGTGATAAAGGAATAATCCAGGAATCCCACTTCTGGGTATTTATCTAAGGAAATAAAACTGGCCTGTGGAAGGGTATCTGCACTCCTGTGTTTGCTGAGGTGCTGACCCCCACAGCTAACATGCAGAACCAACCTCACGTCCATCAGCAGAGCCCCAGATCAGGAAAATCTGGTCTACATGCAGCGGAATCCCTACTCAGTCTTAAAAAGTGACAAATCCTGGCGCGTGCAATGACACAGATGAACCTGGAGGACGTCATGCCGAGGGGAAAAAGCCAGACACAGAAAGACAGATGCGGCGAGACATCACTTACACGTGGGATCTAAGGCAGAGGACTCAGAAGCAGAGGGTGGAATGGTGGTCGCCAGAGGGACGGGGCGGAGTGGGGGGCGCCTGGGAAGACGGCGGCTGACGGGTGCTGCATTTCAGCTAGACAAGAGGAGGAAGTGAGGAGGTCCCATGTTCCACATGGCAGCCACAGTAACGGTTTGTGCACTTGAAAATTGCTAAGCGGCGGGATCATAAACGTCTCACAAGCACAGGAAGATGATAAGGACGGGAGAGGCAGAGGTGTCTACAAGCTTTGCTCACTCATCTTACAACGTACGCCTGTATCAAAACACGTCATACACCAGAAACATATACAGTTTTCATCTCTGAATATAACTTAATAAAGCTAGAAAAAACATTTTTAAAGTAAAAATAGAAGTGTTTCTTCCATTTAAAAAAAGTATCAGGTAGAGAACTTTTAAAGATGACAGCAGTCAAGTCAGTCCTCAGACAAGTACGTCAGATGCGGAGTGGGCACTGGTGTTTTTTAAACGTTCCCTAAGTGATCCTGACTGACACAGAACCAGGGTGAAGATCTAACATTTCCATGAACAGGCTAAAAGGACTCATTGGAACCAGTGTGTCCACCTCCCTCATGAGCTGTGCTTCTGCGTGAATCCTGTGGGTCGCCCGTCTGCACGTGGCTGTTTCATGCTTCTTTGGCTCACTGGACAGCTACAGCGGCTCCTCCCTCTCCTCCCGAGTCCTCCACCCACGCACTGACCCTCCAGGGGAAAGCCACACAAGTGTTTGAACCGGGCAGCCTCTCAGCCAACCGTCACCAAATCCCCTCATTTCTTTCCTTCCAAAGCTTCTAACATCTGATCCTTCTCATTCTTAAACCGCCAACCCCTGCCCCATGGCAAGACTGTAGAGATGGCTCAGGAAGCTCCCCCGTTCCTGAGCGGTGTGGAGGCTCCTCATAATGAAGACGCATCAGTTCACCAAGAGATCCCCAACTCCACCTCTGGACATTTACCCGAACAAGCCGAAAGCAGCGACATGGACAGCCGCGGGCCGTGTTTACGGCAGCGCCATTTGCCATGGCCCGAGAGAAGCGACCCACAAATGCGTGGAAGCCAGTGCCATCCATCCACACAGGGCAGCGTGACTCCGCTTTCGACAGGAGCGGCCATGTGGAATGACTAGAAGACACTCTGCCATGTGACAGGAGCCAGTCACACAAGGACAAATCCTGTGTGGTTCCACTGCTGGGAAGTCTCTAGAGGAGTCAGATTCACAGAGGCGCGGAAGCAGAAGGGGGGTGCCAGGGCCTGGGGAACGGAATGGGAGTGAGTGTTTAATGGGACAGGATTTGACTTGCAGAAGAGGGAAGAGTTCTAGAGACGGAGGTGCTGGCGTCTGTACAGCGATGTGAATGCATTTAGTGCTGCCGAACTGTGAACTGACAAAGGCTAAGCTGACAAAACGCTTTCTGTCCCTACACTCCAGCCTGCACCAAGCCACCCATGTGACATTCTGCCTCCTCCGCCCCAGCCTCACCCCGCGAAGTTCACTCCGTGTGGCCGCGGAAAACCTGAACTCCCAACCTGGGAGTCCAGGGTGAGAACCCGGGCAAAGCGGCCTCCTCAGAGTGACTCCTGCACTCTCGTTTCAGTTCTGTGCCCACTGCTCTGGCCTCCAGGTTCTTCCCACTGTGCCCGTGCCCAAGCAGAGCCACCCCAGGAACCTCACGCTGCCCCAGCGACAGCCCCTGGGCATGGTCACTGCCCTGGAGAAGAACCGGCACGGGCACAACTGTGACGTTCACACTGTCCAGACGCGGGGCAGCACGCGGCTGAGCCACCTCCAGAGCGTCGAGCAGGCAAGCACCAATGAGTCACGTGCAACCTGGAGGCCTTCCCGGCAGGCCGCGCACTGACGATCAACCGTGATGGCGTGTTGCCAGAGTGAGGGTTAGAAAACCAGATGCATAACTACTCGCACACCATCGCCACTGCTCCTCCCTGGTGAGAAGCCAAAATACTTTCACTCGCCTGTTTCTGAGTGAAGAAAGGACTTGTGTAGACTGTCAGTTGGCAATGAATTTAGGCCTCAGTCGCAGTGGATGGTACTGTCATCCGTTAGAACTCTACCCATTTTATAATCTTCAGTTGAAAAGCAAACATTTTTTGGCTGTGGTTTTCTTTAACAGAAGTCCAAACTTTATACAAAGTGAACTCCTTCCATTTTCAATACTATTCTTTAGGACAGTCAAACCAGCAACAGATGTCTTTGCCAAAAGTCTGAAGTATGTTTTTAAAAATGCAAATTTATATAAATTGAACTCATGACCAATGACCCAGCCCTGAGTGCCATCACCGCGGACGCCCTCAGAGGCTTGAGAAGGAGGCTGACAGACTTTACGGTTAGAGAATAACCACAGAGAGCAAAGTGCCCGAGCCACTGACGGGCCTCTGTCTTCAGCTGTGGCTTCACGTTGCTTCTATTCAGCCGTTCGATGTTGAATTGATTCAACATTCCCCGTCTCTGACAGAAGCATGTGGCCTTCTTCTAAGCACAGCTCCACGTCAAAAGACTGATGGCAAATATGGCCCCAGCTTTCCTGTGTCGGTGGCAGCTCAGAAATGAAATTTCCATGTGACTTTAACCAGCACTGGGGAAACGCCAGCATGCCAGCCTGTCCCAGGACCCCTGGAGGAAGCGCAGCTCGGACTCAGTGCCCAGCCCACGGTGTGTGTGCCCTGCTGCTTCCTGCCACGTGACGGCTACGTGAGAAGCGCAGATACGGGAGCTCCCTGCTTCCTGAGGCTGCTTTGAACACGTAGTCACAGAGGCGCAAGGGAAGGAGGGTCCTTCACCTCTGGAGACGCGTATTGATTATGTGAATGGTGGCCTCCGTTCCTGAGGGCCAGGAACAGCCCTTTCTCACCTAGCACTTCGCAGTGTTTAAAAACTATTGTTTTTAGAAAAAGGTGCCCCATTTGACTTAGTTCTTAGCTCACTCTCTAAAGGCAAACATGCTAACGTGTGATGGTGGGAAGGCCCCATGATGGGAGGTGCCCGCAGTGTGTGGGGTTCTATCACCCCCACAGCAGGACTGACGTGGGTACTCTACCTAGATCCTCCTCTGTCGGCCCTGGAAAGCTGATGCCCGGCTGGACCAGGTCTCCACCTTCTTCCTCTGCAAAGACAGAAACAAAGTCACTCATTAATGCGTGTCTGGTGTAGACTGCAGTCACTCCCAGCACATCTTCAAAACCCACCACACTCAACACAGTTCAAACATGACAGACAACTTCGTATTTCTTCAAATGGCATTGCTCACAGCCCGGCATTTTGTGCCAATAACCTCAGGAACCACCATCATTTTCTGTAAAACAGCATTGTGATCACAGATGCACACATTTGTCCCACAGACACGGACACAGGCAGCAGGTCCCAACAACTCTCAGCTTCACCTCTGTCCTAACTTCAAATTTATTAGGTGTTCTTTGCATTGGAACGGACTTCAGGAAAATCAGCCCACTCTTACTTTCCCCAGCTCCTTCCAGCTGGGTGAGTCCCACAAAGGCCCTGGTTTGCCCGTGATAAAGACTTCCCTTACTGTCTAGAAAGCTTCATGCTATTTGAAGCCTCATTTTGCAATGTTCAAAGCCTGCAGTTATGGTCTTAGTGCTTAATATTCGTTCACATTAGGTCCACTTCGACCAGAACACAGATTTCATTTCCCTCTGTTGGGAGATCTTTCAGGTCACTGGCATTGACTTTCCACTGTTCACTCTGTGCTGACACAATAGCAGACATCACTTTCTTAGAATGACATCATCACGTGGCTACCAGAGGTCAGTGGGTCATCGAGCTCTGTCCTCTCTCCACGTGTGGGGCCACAGGACTGTGGAGACAAACACACTTGTGATTTTATCTAACTGGTCCCTGGGGAGCTGGACGGAGGATCATCCAGTGCCTCTGCTCCTATGGGCTCTGCCCAGGAAACCAGGTGCTGACTCTTCAGGCTGCCTTGCTTTCTACCTGGCTGCAAAGGCAATGTAGACATAGCACCATCCCAGGGAGGCTCTGCTCACGCCAGCCACAGTGAGAGGCATAGGAGTGGCCTGAGGAGGGGGGCAGGGAGTGTCAGGTAAGGGAGCATTTGGTACCAGGTTCCACATGCATGTGAACATGTATTTAAGGGAAATGTATCAGAAAGATGACACATGCATTTACACACATGGACACACATCTTTGTCACCATTTGGCATATATCTCAAAAATATAATTATATGATTGCATATTCAGACTCCAGGCATATATTTGCACACACATGTGGGTTTCCAATGTTCATGGACAGGCTTTGAGGCGCAACGCACATGTGTCCCCACCCCCTATCCAAGTGTTAGATGAAGTTAGCCAGGCTGTAGCCTGCAAAAGGATTGACTCCAGAACACGATGCTGGAGCCACTGACACTGGAATCACGACCTCTGATTCAGCAAATCAGCATCTGCCATTTTCTACAAGTTGGTAGGAGGCTGGGAGAGGAAGATGAAGATTTGGCAACGTGAGAGGCTGAGGAAGAGAATATGATGGCCTCTCAAATAAATGTGAAGTAAGATCAGTAACTGAAAGTAAGCTCCCAGTTACTGCTTTAAAAAATATATATACATGTATGAGAAGTAGCTATCTGAACTAGGTTAAGTATTTTACAAGACAGTTCATTCAAATGATTTAACATAACTCAGCCCCATTTCTTAAAGGCTAACAGCACTTTCTGCATACTTTAAGTTGCATTTTCAGCTAATGAGATACATCTGCCAAATGACCACCTTATGTATAATATGAAACCAAAGGCCAGAATGGCCTCATTCATGTAGAAAGATGATGGACAGTTCTAATTAAGCACAGTTTCCATGGAGATCATCATCACATGTGTGATTAATGTGAGAACAGAGCGTCCAGCTGGGTGAGAACGGAACGTGGGGATAATGCAAAACAATGAACCCTCAGCTTCAGCCCTCCTTATGCTGGAGTTGCAATACACACACACACACACACACACACACACACACACACACACAAACACAGGTAAGGGAGGTGCTGTCACAGGCAGACTGGAAGGCTAAGCCAGCATCACACAGTTGCAGTGACAAGCAGGAGTGCCCCTTTAGCAGCGCCAGCCGCAGCAGACAAACAGTTTAGCAAAGCCACGTGCTCACGCACAGCACAAGCTTGCTATTGGAAGCCTGCGCTTTCCTCAAGGAACACGCCTAATTATCTCGAGAACAGCCCTCCAAGGATGAGGGGTGCGGACGTTTGAAGGTCAGCCTTGAATTTTAGGAGTACAAATGCTTCACCGACTAATCTCTTCCTGCCCTTGCTATTTATCAGCTGAGAAAATGGGAGGTGTGGAAGCCGTGTGGCTCAGGCAACACTGTTCAAAGTTAAAAATCCAGCCTGGGCTGAGGGTACGTGAAGGTTTCTGAGTGTGCTGTGGCCTTCCAGCTGGGAGAGCTTAATTTAGCATGTGTGTCAGTATAACTGTGGTTCCCGTCCTTCCTTGTCTCAGGAAGCTTTGTATTTTCAGCCTAAATCTTGTACGGGACAACACCCCCACATCTCAGGGGTTCCCTTCTGTGGTTTCAGTCACCTGAGGTATGGAGTAGGCATGGTATGGAGAGAGAAACAGAGACCACAATCACACTCCTCCTTTTACGGTCCAGGGTTCTAAGTGCCGATTTCACTACGGTTGCTCGGGTGACTCTCTCACTGCACGTGACGTGCAAGCTGAGCTTCCTCCTGGGTGCGTGGACACACGGAGCACCATGCTCGGGCTTTCTTCTTCTCCTGCCCAAAGTGCCATCTAACAGTCACGCCCTACAAATTGTGGCGTCTCATTAGAGGGGTTTTCTTTACCCTTCAGCACGTGGCTCAGTTTCCAAACTGACTCTGGCACCACATCACGTGGCAGATAAAGAAGGAAATCAAAACATTTTAATCCCAAATGTCCGGGTTTAATTAATTTATTTTTTGGACAGATCTCCAAATAATCCAGCAAAGCCAACTCTTGCAGGGAAAACCTACATTCTGAAGAGAAGTGCCCTTCCTTCTTCCTTTTCCGGATCCAGGAGAGAACTGACTCTGATAAGAAGCACTTGCCGGCCATTCTCTCTGAGCCTGCTGCCTGCAGGCCTCCTCTGCGCTGTGGGAACCGGGCCTCCACGACCTCATCTTCACCCAGACATTGCTTTCTATGGCTTCTAGGTCTTTAGAGAATAATTTAACTCTTTCAACCAATGTCCAGTTGGAGAATGTTTGAGTCCATCCACGGCTCCGATAACAGTAGGAAAAATCGACATACAAGTGCTGGTTCTGGCTGAGGTCTCAGGCATTGCCAGGGCGGTCGGAACACATCTCCTGTGGACAGAGGACACTCCCGTACCTCTGCACGTTCCTACCCACAGTCTGGCAGCCTCATGAGGCAGCACCCGGTTGGCCTGGAGAGGCCGTGGGTAGAGCATGTTTTTGTCTTCGTCACATCTTCAGCGTCTGGCACAGCATGGAAGAAATGTGTGGCAGGAGAAAGCCTCTCAAACTCAGTGACCCTCTCAGTGGCCTCAGAAATGCCCTCACCTGTGCTTCAAGAGACTCAGGAACACTCATTCTTTCCACCCATCTCTCTCTCCCAGCTGCCTCGTATGAGGCAGGAGAACCGTTTGCTCTGCCAGCCGTCAGAAGGGTGGGCAGCATGGCCGAGGAAGCCAGCTTTGGCTGTGGTCACAGAGCTACAGCTCCGTCTGCACCCTGAGATGTTCTGAAATCATGTGACCATAAGTTTCCTCGATCTAGCATCTTGACTTCCCATGGTCCAAACTGAAGAGCTCCCCAGGGAGAGGCTGGAGGCCCTCTCATCCCAGGTGTGAGGCTGACGGATGCCGCGAAACTGACAGTGCCCATCTCTGACGTCACGCTCACACTTCCATCGCCAAAACAGAGCCGGGCCTTCGACTGAGGAATGCTGGAAGTCATCCATTCACACACGGAAATGCACTTCTGTATTCTCTGGACAAACACCGTCTCTCACCAAGGCAACTTGGGGAGCGGGGGACTTCCTCACTTCAGCCTGTCACTTAGGTCCCTTCTGGCAGGACGGGCTTTACGAGCCATCTTTCTCACCTGCTAGAGCTCGATGTTGGCAGCGCCCCCTCAGGTGTGACCCGGAGGCCCCGTAAACCTTCCCGGGGAGCTGCCATGAGGTGGTCTTGCGATTCTGTGCCCTGGCACTTCCTCCGGGTCAACATCCAGCTCTCCTCCGGCCACAGCAGTGGGCGTGTGGATGGCGTGTGTGGTGCCCCTGGTGCTGCCTGGAGAGCGCAGACTGCCCTGACCAAACACAACACAGGCACCCTAACGCCTCTGAAATCACCTCCATCTTCAGAGAAATGGCCACCCTGCTCCCCTGTGGCCCAGAGGGTTCCGGATGGATCTGGGAGGGTCCGTGACAGCCCTTAATAAAGCACAGGTGCCGCGATCACTGCGTGGCATGCGCCACACTTGCCTTCCCTTGCTTAGCAAAGAGTCCTCTCAACGTCACAAGCTGCTCATGCTTCCTGGAAGGCAGAGCCAGGCAACGCACCGTGAGAAAGGAAGGAAGGGCGATGCTTCCCAGAGCGCGTCCTCAGAGCCCGGCCCAGGTGGCTGCACCATTGACACTTTCCAGTTAGGAAATCGGCATCAGAGAGGTGAAGCACATCCTCCGAGGTCAGAGGCACAGACTGACCCGGGGGGTTCCAGCCCCCAAGCGCTCCTGTGTCCCCCGATCCTTCGAGGTCAGAGGCACAGACTGATCTGTGGGTTCCAGCCCCCACGCGCTCCTGTGTCCCTCGATCCTCCGAGGACAGAGGCACAGACAGACCCAGGGGTTCCAGCCCCCACACGCTTCTGTGTCCCACGAACCTCCGAGGTCAGAGGCACAGACTGATCTGTGGGTTCCGGCCCCTATGCGGTCATGTGTCCACTGATCATCCGAGGACAGAGGCACAGACAGACCTGGGGGTTCCAGCCCCCAGGCGCTCCTGTGTCCCCCGATCCTCCGAGGTCAGAGGCACAGATTGATCTGTGGGTTCCAGCCCTCACGTTCTCCTCTCGGGGCCCTACGAGGCTCTGTGAGGGTTCTACCAACACCACAA